CTCCAAGTGTGCAATGGTGTGGTCATTTTAAAGCAAAAGGGGGGGGGGGGTGGAGTACTTTATTTCTTATAGTGGTCTTGTTGCCACAAGGGAAAGGAAGTGTAGAAGACACTGTTTTTTTACGCTTGTCTTTCGAATGAACATTTTATTAAATCTTTGCTTTTTTGAAGATCTAGAACTACGGTATGATGCATCAGACAGCTTATCCCCTACTGTGCACTGCGATTCTTTCTGTCAGGGCCTCCAGGAGGAACCACAGCTCCCAGCGGGGGATACAGATATTCAGCACACTATGGGCAGAATAAAAAAAAAAGATATATGATGCTGTGTGTCGCTAGCATTAACGCAGCAGCTTTTGTATTTCCGAGATCCCACTGTTCTATAGTTTTATTACCTGTTGATTTGTTATTTTCCGCTTTTCCTTTAACAGGGTGACAACGCTGTTCATTCTGCAGTGCAATTACACAACAGTGTTGTCACCGTGGGAGCAGGGTAGATTAGTTGGCCATGTGGTTTGAAATGGACTTTAAGCGACAAACAAAGCCCAGTTCTAGCTAACACTTTTTAAGCAGTTACAGCTACAGCGTTGGCTTTTCTCCTTAGATCCTGATGTGTTGCTGAGAAAGGAAGTAAAGAGAGATTGTCCCCCATCATGGACAACATCAAAACTTCGGATCTAGCCCTTTATCATGTTACTTATAACGGAAATTGTTTTTGCTAGGTAGGCAATATGAAAGATGTTCTATGAATTAAAAAATTGTTCTAGGGGCGCTAGTGAGCAGCCTATTAGCATGGATGTCTGCTAAAACGGCTCCGCACCACCCGGGGCGTGAGATCGCTATTAACACCGGTCGTCTCCTGTCCTACCTATACCCCACCTTACCGCCTGACCCCCTGGCACCGCCATGGGCAGAAACCAACCGCCGGCCCGGTCCCAGCAGAAGACGCTGTGCTCCTCAAAACCGCGGCCTGAGTTGTTCCAGGAACCACACCCGGGCTACCCACTAGAACGCCTCGAACTGGATCGGGTACATTGCGCCCTGGGCCCAAAGAGGGTTAATGGACCCCCCACCCCGCGACATCATACTCAAACCCATCTTCTATAAAACGAAGGAAGCTGTTGCACAGGCCGCATAGAAACAATGCACCTTGCGCTTCCAGGACTTTGAGTACCTGATATACGCAGACCTGGCGCCACAGACCCTCCTGAAGCGAAAAGCTTTGAGGCCCTTTCCTCACCACTCTGCAGCGCCATGCCATCAACTATAAATGGGGGTTTCCGTTGAAGGCTACATTCACCCACAAAGGCAGGTCATACTCCTTCTCCCCTGAGGAAGCAGGGCCCCTCCTGGAACAACTACAACTGTCGTCCCCGACGACCTCCGAAGTGCCCCCCCGTCAATCTCCTCTCCCCCGAAGGACAGACGCCTAGCCCCCCTGTGGGAACGCAGACCCCGCAACACCCGAGACGCGCCTGGAAAACTGCACTCACAATCCCGGCCTCGCCTGGACGAAGGTGACTGACCCCCGCAGCTGGAGGCCTGTGAACGAGCCACCCATGGCTACACTGCCCTACTTAACCGACTGGTCGGACAGGCGGTCCCCTCCCCCCCCTGTTTTTGGGACCCTCCCGACCGCGATTCGGGTTGCACCCGTCCGGAACACGTTTCCTGTGGTCCGTAAGTTATGCTGATCCCCACCCACGGTTTTGAGGTAATACCTCTAGAGAACTGCCTTGGTGTTATTCAAGGTCATAGTTGACTTTTGCGGTAATTCCACAAGGGTTTTTCACGTTACTATTCTGACTGCTGGAGTTCAGGCCCAGCCTAATAACATCGAGGACCCGGCCCCAACCCGTCTTAGATTATCCACCTGCTATGATGCCCACTTGTGTGGCGGGTGGGCGCGGACTGCCATAGGGCGCACTGTCCGGAGCCTGATACCGGTCTGCTGTTTTGCATATTCTCCATGTTTACCATGCCGAATTTGTTTGCCCCTATCACGGTTGGCACTGTTTATTGTTTTTCTGATTATTTTTTGCACTGTCTTTTGCCTCACTGACATATAGGCTCTACATGCCATCCCGTGGGCCCCACGCCGCTCCTCACTACCCATCCGTGGCAGCCCTAGCCATGGAGGCTTTGCCTGGAAGATCCCCTGTCGCTCAAATAGCCTTATAGGTGCCGTCAATATGCTCGATCTTCCCGCACCACCACAACAATGACTAGTCGACCCCTCAAAATTATTTCACACAATGTGCAGGGGCTCAACTCTCCCCGTAAGCGCAGACTTGCTTTCAACTACTTTTCATCACACCAGGCCAACATACTGTGCTTACAGGAAATAAAATTGTCCACGTCTTCACACCCACAAAAACTTCCACAGATCTTTCAAGCCCAGTTCAACAGGAAAAAAAGAGGAGTCCTCGTTGCCTTCCACAGAAACACTCCATTTGTGTGCGCCCATGAAATAGCGGACCCCACGGGAAGGTACTTGTTGTTAGGGGCACGATCTTTGATGTGGAGGTAACACTGCTCACGTGATATGCGCCCAATACCCACCAAACTCAATTTTTCTCCCACCTACTAGCACTAGCTGATAAACACAGAAAGGGCACCCTAATAGTGGCCGGAGACTCCAACCTGGTCCTTGACCCTAAACTTGATAAGTCGGGTCCATACACACCCAATGCCCTCCCCCCTGGTCCACTCCCGCTCTATCTCCCCTCTTCTGTACTTTCTTGCAAGACTGTAACCTCATTGATGCCTGGAGGGACCTCCACCCGACCACTAGAGGCCATACGTTTTATTCCCACCCCCACGTCAGCTCCTCCCGCATAGACCATATCTTCATACAACCAAGTTTTCTCCCATCCATCATTGACGCCTCCTGGTCAGATCACTCCCCAGTGTCTCTCATATGTAAATCCCTATTCTCTGCCTCCCACCAATTTAATTGGAGACTGAGTGATTCCCTTCTCTCTTTTGTCGACTCGGCTCAACACGTCCAATTGTGCCTCTCCCGCTTTTTTGCGGAAAATGCACTATCAGTCACTTCCCCAATTTCTATCTGGGAAGCCCACAAAGTGACTCTGCGAGGCGAACTTATCAGTCTGGCCTCCCGACAAAAGAGGGAACGAAACAAAAGGGTGTCTAACCTCTCCTCGACATTGGAGAGGCTTGAGTTTGACTGGAACATGGCCCCTTCAATTCCCGTGCGAAAAAAGATTCTCAGTTTGACTGGAACTGAATCTCCTCTTAAACGACTCAGTGGAAAAACAGCTCCGCTGGACCAGACGCACGTTTTACGCGTGCGCTAACAAACCGGGCCCCCTAATGGCCAACATGCTAAAATCTAAACCGAGAGCCAGGGACCCGGTCAGACTCCGCCTCCCCAATGGTAACACTACGGCGAACATATCCACCATCCTCAATCGCTTTACTGCTCTTCTTTCTACATTATACGGCAATCACTCCACATTCCAAACCCACCAGGCCGAATCACTATTTGCTGGGGTAGACTTGCCCTCGCTCACGGAGAGCATGAGCACCCTTATGGCCCAAGACATTTCTCCTGAGGTCCTTTATGGCCATCAAGTCCCTCAAAACCTCTAAGACACCCGGCCCAGATGGGTTTTCGGCTCTGTACTACAAAAAGTATTCAAACACTTTAGCCCCCCACCTAACAGTCATTTTTTATTCTCTAAAGACCAATAACACCCTCCACCCGTCCTCCTTACTGGCCCACATAGTTATGATCCCGAAACCTGAGACAGATGCCCTCGACCCGCACAACTACAGACCCATTTCACTACTGAACATCGACGTCAAATTACTAGCTAAGATGCTGGCCACCCGCATGAATTCAATCCTGCCGGACCTAATACACCGAGACCAAGTGGGGTTTGTTCCTTATAGGCAGGCCTCAGACAATACCTGGAAAATATACACCTCATACACAACATGCACTGTACTAACACTCCCGGTATGCTACTCTCATTAGACCTCCAAAAAGCATTCGATTCCATATCCTGGGACTATCTTTTCTTTGTCCTCTGTAAATGGGGTTTCCCAAACGACTTCCTTCTTTGGATCAAAGCCTTATACAGCGCCCCAACGGCTTCAGTTCTCTACCTTAGCTACCTATCACCCGCTTTTTCCCATCTTGGGTGGTACACACCAGGGATGCCCCCTCTCGCCCCTCCTTTTTGTCCTGGACATTGAACCCTTAGCCCACCTAATTCGAATTAGCCCCAATATACATGTTGTTGTCAAAGGACAAACCGATTATAAACTCCATATGTTCGCTGACGACATATTGCTCACCCTATCCCAACCCATAGTCTCCCTTCCCAATCTACTCTCGATCTTACAATCCTTTGCCCAGGTCTCTAATCTAACTGTCAATGCCGATAAATCCTGCGCACTCAACATCTCCCTGACACCTCCCTGACACCACAACAAGTTACTTCCCTCAGTCATAACTTCCATTTTAAATGGCACGCTTCCCACTTAAAATATCTGGGAGTAAACATTTCCCACACCTATGATACTTTATACGCTGCTAACTACCCTCCACTCTTCAAAACTCTTAAGGACCTCCTGAACACGACACAACCTCTCCTGGATGTGCAAAATTAACGCGGTCAAAATGACCATCCTTCCAAAAATGGCTGTACCTCTTCGCACCTTGCCCATTCCTATACCCCGCAAGGCACTCAAGCTGTTCCAGGCCCAGTTGTGTCCTTTGTTTGGTGTACAAGACGCCCCAGAGTGTCCAGATTCATTTTGCATACCCACAAACGTGAGGGAGGCCTAGGCCTCCCCAACTTCCACAAATATCTACCGACACACATCGCCTCAATAGTCAGCTTTTTCCAGTCCCCCTGTGATCCGCTTTGGGTTGACATGGAAGCAACACAATGTAGCCCATATTAATTGCGCTCCCTGCCCTGGTTACCCCCCAATCAATGCCCTCCCTCTATGAGCCCCATTTTGACCCACACCTCCCTATGGGACTCCACTAGATACTCCAGTAACTTACAGTCCCCACACCTCCCTTTACTAAACCATACTAGGAAACCCTCTATTCCCCCCAGGACTAGATTCCCCCCTGGCATTCACATGGTGGTCTTCCAAAGGGCTGACATACCTCTATGTCCTGCTAGACGGCGGATTGGTCCGTCGATGGGAATATTTTAGGGACAGGAAGGGAGCCCCGCCCTCTGAATATTTCAGGTACCTTCAAATTCGGCATTGGGCTACATTAACGCTTGCACAATCGTCACCTCGGGCAGGCATAACGGTATTTGAACATACCTGTAAACGCAACCCACTCAGTCCCAAATTGGTCTTGCTGATCTACTCCCAACTCAACACTTTGACCTCCCCTAACAGACACTCCTACATAGGGAAATGGGAGAGAGACCTCATAACATCACAACCACCGGAAAAATGGCAGCAAATATCGTCCTCCATGGCCACCTGCTCAATCAATATCTCCTCCATGGAAACGGCCTTTAAATCCCTCACACTTTGGTACCTGGTGCCGTCTAGATTGGCCCATCTCCACCCCTCACACTCATCATCCTGCTTTAGGGGCTGCACATCACTAGGTGATGTCCTCCATACGTGGTGGTCCTGCCCTATGCTTACCAGATTTTGGTCAAGAGTCTTCCGTATGCTACACAGATTGTTCTGAGTACAGCTCCGCAAGGACCCTTGGCTGGCCTTACTACACCTTAAATCTCCGCTCCTTACAAAAAGCCAACACCGTCTAGCCACCACGTCCTGCTGGCGGCTAAACAAACTATTGCTTCGGCATGGAAAAAGCGATTTGTACCCTTTTTTTTTTCTGTTTAAACGAGAAGCTGACTAGCATCCTCACGGACGCCAACAAATCTTTCACTAACTTTTGGCAACCATGGATAGACTATGCCCACCCCTCCCTGGCCTCAGCAAGTCTCTCAGCCCTTTAGGCTCCCAAGACAAAAAACGCTCGCTCCAGATGAACCCAGTCCCCTCCTTCTCTTCTCCCCCCCCCTCTTTCTCACCCCTTGGACTACAACTTTATGGATTCCCTTATCTGGGTAGTCCTCAGCCCTCTTGACACAACCTTGTCCCGAGGAACCTGGTGACCATAAGCCCACAAGTTTGCACCACCTGACAAGGACCTCCGTCTCCATGTTTCTCCGCTGTATATGCATTCCAATACCGATTAACGTGTCTTGTACCCTATATGCTGTTCAAAAATTTAATAAAAACTTTGAAACGAAAAAAAATTGTTCTAATCACTAAGCAAAGTCTATTTGTTTCAGCTTAGGGTAAAACTGGCATACACTTTAAGATTTTTCTCCTTCATTCCCACACTGATTGGCTGTAGTCACTGTGCAGCTGACAGATTTACATATGGCTCCTTTGACCAAAGACAATTGAAAAATCGACTTTTGTCAAACTGGGTGGTGCTGGCAGGGCCCCCCAGGGATTGTGCTTTGCACCATTCAGCAGGAAGCAGAGAAGGGTTAGAACCTCAATCAAGTTTTTCTTGCTGCCCATGTTCCTGTTTGAGAGAAGATCCCTATTTTCAAGTCCTGCTCTAGGGTTCCAGTAGGACAGAAAGTGACCCGAATGGGGTATCCTTATATTCTCTTTGAGAATACGGTAGAGGGTATATGGACAAGCATAGTTTATCATGCGCCCTCTGGTGTGAATTCACTATAGTAATATATGAACATTTGGCAGGCAGGTGAAACAAGTATCTCGGGCCTTGCCAGGTTTGGAGACGATTGGCTTTGGAGACCATCACCCTGCAAAGGTTGCAGACATCAGTATAGATATAAGGGAGTGAATCAAACACTGCCTCACTCCACCCAAAATTAAGCAATTTGATGTTTTTACTTTTGTGATATTTGTTCTTTATATTCTTCTTTTTTTTTTTTTTTTTTAACAGAGAGAGAGGCAAAGTCAGAGAGAGAAGGCCCTGGAACTGACGGAAAAACTAGACAGTGACTGGAAAAATATACAGACATTGCTCGCTCACAGGACTCCTAAATCTGAGAGGAAGCCTGAAATTGAAAAACCAAAGGTGAGCTGTGGTGTCCAAGATGGTACTGCAATGGCTTTTTAATGGTCGGGAGGGATGTAGCTACACATGTACAAAGATCACTCTGCATTTGGTCCTTTTATTATGTTGTTTTTGTTCCCAACTATAACCAGGAGTTTATTTAAGGCACTAAATGTACAGATCTTATTAGGGATGAATCGATACTGATACTAGCATAGTTACCGATACCGAGTATTTGGGTAAGTGCTCGTACTCGCCCAAATGCTCAGATGCCTAGCCCATACTTCCGGTATCAGGAAGCCGGGCAGCGAGTCATTACAGACTGCCCGGCTTCCTGATTGGCCAGGAAGCCGCCTCCATGCTTCCTCGTCACTTAGTTATATGGAATTGTAATGCCGTTTTTTTGTTATACCCTCTTGCTTAGTCACATTTTGTTCTGTTTATTGAAAGGGTTTCTAAACCCTCCGTTTTTTTGGATATATCTACTGCTAGCAAGCAGTAGATATATGCAAAAAAAAAAGAAAACGCTTTAAAAGCGGTTTAAATGTACCCCTGTCTTCACCGCGCGCTTCCGTCCGAGAATGCAAAACTGCTCGGGTGGCCACAAAGCATCTTGGGGCGGGCGCATGCGCAGTTCGGATTTTCGGCCGGTAGACGAGGAGAGACGCAAGGTAAGTCTATGGACGCGTGCACCCGCATGCTGACACCGTGGGACAGGAAGTGCCAGCAAGGACAGAGGAGTCAGCGCTGGATCCGAGACCCGCAGCAGCGCTGGAGAGGAGGCTGAAAAGGACAGAAAAGAAGAGGAAGATCGGATTAAGAGGCATCATTTAAGGTAAGTGTTTGTTTTACTTAACATTGGGGGAGGGAAAAAAAATGATCCTTTAATGTCACTTTAATGATTGTGTGTATTGGCTTTTTGATTTCACATTCTCATCATATTTCTTCATTAGCCTGATGACTATGACAAGATTGTTCGAGAACTTGGATTTGAAATGAAGGCTCAGCCCTCAGACAGAATGAAATCGGAAGAGGAGATTGCAAAGGAAGAACAGGAGAGACTACAGAAACTAGAGGTATGGTAACTGTGGTGCTCCTGCTCACCTGTACGTTCATGGTTTGTACTTCTAAATGATGATAGAAGCTTATTTTTTCTAATGGGTATGTTATTATAAAAAGAGAGTCCACATGACTTCTTTTCCTCCTGCCTGTTCCCTTTTCTCTATTGTTGAACTTTTTATCTCATGCTTTAGTCTAAGTGAGGCTGCTGTGAGCTCAGAGAAGTGTCGGAGCATCAGCTGAAGAACACAACTGCCAGTATTTCGACAACCTTAGTTTCAAGTCACTTCAGAAGTTGTGCATACTGAGGGCTTAGTTATAAAGACCACCAGATGCAAATTTTAGGGTGAAAATGATAGCCAGTTAGTAGCTAGGTCAGCTGATTGACTTTGAATGCAAATTGTTGGGTTTTGACCGGTGTATACTTTTAACAGGCTGAGAGGCTACGCCGAATGCGAGGGGAGGATGGCAAGTCCAAAAAGAAGGCCAAACACATCTCTGCAGATGATCTAATGGATGGATTCGTATTGGATAACGATGATCGTCTCATGCTTTCTTATAAGGTAAGTTTTAATTATTGTATGCATAGCCTATGTAGTGAGAATTAGGGATATATAAAGAGTATGTCTCTATACTAATTTTATATTTGTTGCCATGGAACAGCTTATGGGGGATCTGTGCCGAGAACCTCCTTCTAATGACTAGAGACTAGCCTGGGCTCATTGTGATACTATGTCGCCTGAGTTCGCCCAAGCTCGCTCAACACTGTGATCGCCAACCTAATCAGTGCTGTCGGTTGTGGCAGGGCCATTCCCCTCCCCTTTGTGACATATAGCTGTGGGGCAGAGAATGTGCCTCTCTGCAACTGGTTGGACCTAGAGGAAGGGGTGGCAGTCACAGTTTTGAGCGAACTAAGACAAACTGGGTTCACCCCAAGCCCAGGCTCATCACTACCAATGGCGTAAAAACCTTGCTCAGCTGCCTTTATGCAGACGGGAAACTTTCTCTGTTATGTTTAAAATGTATAAAGTCATGTTTTAGTGGTGTTTTTCTTTACTGTTTTTATGAAAGCATTGTTTGCACCCGTGGCAAAGGAATCAAAGCGCATTATAGGTGTTCTAAGGACAGGGCACTGCTGGAGCTGTTTCACTGTAACATCTCTTTAGCTGAAACTTCTTCAGAGCCTGACATATAGGCTACCCCCCCCGCACTGCAAGGGTTAACTGCTTGTTTTGGTCTAGGAGCTGAAATAAAGAAAATCTTACTTACATGGTCCTTGGAGGATCAGGTGAGTATATTCTTTATTTGAGTTCCTAGACCAAAATGAGCAGTTAACCCTTGCAGTGTTAGGGTGCATTAAAAACAGCATTATAAAGTTTCTAAAGCTGCTACAGTTTAGTTGTCACTTAAAACCTAAAGGCAACTGTGTATGGCTGAAGCAGCTTTACTTCCTGCACATGTGAAGCTGGCTGCTCTAAGGGCCCAGTCACACCGTGGCCAGAACGCACTGGATCGCAGTAATCAAGACGGGCCGCATTGTAGAGGGGGGGGGGCGTGGTGGTGACAATCATGTCAATGGCACCGCAGACACACACACACACACACACAACACTGCCCGCAGTGCGACTGCCCAGACTGGAACGCGAGGTACAGGAATGCCCGTTCCAGTGCAGTGCGATTGGAAAAAATGCTGCATGCACTATTTTGACCTGAATGGCACCACCAATCCCCCTCCCACCCAAGAACGCAGCCCGCCTTGATTGCTGCGATACTGTGTGTTCCGGCCACGATTCGTGCCGGAACACACTGGATATGGTGTGACTGGGTCCTTAAGCAGCGAATCTCGCGCACCCTGTTGTTACGACAGAATTTGTGGTGCCCTTCTCCCTACCACACATTACTTTTGACCGATGAGGCAGCCCATCATAGTGATGGCCCAGTTGGAATGTGAGGAAGTGGAAAGTTTGAGCTTTTCTTGTTTAAAACTTGCATGAGTGTGCTGTCGGCAATAAAAGCAGCTGCGAGAAAGTGTAGGCAGCTCCAGATACCTGCTAGCAGCTCTGTTTTATTCTGATACTTTGGTTGATGCAGACAACATTACCACTGTATTCTAGTTTTCATACATTTGTCCCATTGTGCCGGATTGGTTTGGATAGAATGAGGTGTAGTAACTGTCTTCATTTTTTATGGACAGTTTCTTTTTCTTTTCTTTTTTTTTTTCCAATTTGTAGGATGGAAAGATGAATATACCAAATTCAGAGGATGAAAAAAATGCAGGCACAGATGGAAATAAGGAGGAAGAGCCTGTTGAAGAGGATGAGGGAAGTGATGTTGGGGAGGAGGGTGATGAAGCCGGTGAAAATGCAACTGATGGTAGTGAAGAGGAGGAAGATGGTAGTGAAGAGGAGGATGATGAAGGCAGTGACGCTTCAGACAATTACTCCGACTTGGAATCTAATGCAGAGAGTGCTGAGGAGGATGGAGAAGAGGAAGTAAAACCTAAAAATATAAAAGGCAAAACCAAGGAGAAGGAAGCTGCAGAGGCGAGTTCACAACTGCCATTTACATTTGATGGTAAAGTCTCTTATTTACTAAGGGCTTCACACTACTTGTAGACCTTGTTATTATACTGTTATGTAACTATGTGCTGAAGTTTAAAGTGACACTAAACTCAGGAGTTAAATCTAACCTTTTACAATACTGGAACTTATTTGTGTGTCACTCGGCTGTAGATCCTCAAATCATCTCTGAATTGGTGGTGACACTGTCCTTCCTTCTGGAGGGGGGCTACTTTTGTTCCCCATGGTCCCTGTGTGTGTTGTGAAGTAGCCACCTCTCCAAGCTCACTCCCGTGAAGGACTATAATCTCACGTTTAGTTTTTGTAGTGAGATTGTAGTCCATCACAGGAGTGAGCTTGGGGCGGTGACTACTTCACAACACACACGGGGACCATGGGGAACAAAAGTAGCCACCCTCCAGAAGGAAGGACAGTGTCGGCACCAATTCAGAGATGATTTGAGGATCTACAGCCGAGTGACACACAAATAAGGTCTAGTTTTGGTAATTGTTAATACTTAGGGTACTTGAATGCATTTTTAAGATTGAACTCCTGAGTTTAGTGTCACTTTTAATATTTTGTTTTCTTTATAAGTGCATAGAGGAGAATAAACCTCTCACCTAGAGGAGGCAGGGTACAAGAGAACCACTTGTATTTTCCTTAAATGTGTTTGCATGCATTCCAGAGCAGGAAAAATAGGGCATGCTGGAGTTTTTTTTTTTTTTTTACATGCTCTGGAACTGAACGCTCTGGTGTGAACTAGAGCCCAAAATACCATTGGAATACATTGGACGCAGTTTTGTTCCATTCTGTAACTGCTTTGCATTGCACCTGCTCCGCGCTTGGTGTGAACTAGCCCGGAGAGTTCAAGAAAGCACAGGAAATGAAGCTGTGTTAAAATAAATCTTTTACTTGCAGTTTCTTACACTGTCAGTTTGCCTATTAAGGGTACAATGAGTGTGTTCCTAAAAGGCCTTGATTGGGCAAAGTGACAGGGTCTCTTTTAAAGCCACGCATTCACTAGCAGTTCTGAATACAGTTCCAGGTATATGTGTCGTGAGGTTTGGCACCCCGACCAAATATCTGAAACATTTAATCGATTTAAAAGATACGACATGTAGATATGGTGTCTGCATAACATCAGAGCATTCTGAATGCTTGATATCCATTGTGTTTTGCCAAACAATTGGTTTATTGACCTG